CAAAGGGAAATGTGACGCAGCCGTGCTGTACAGTATATAAGCACTGTGATTGGATAATGCGCATTTTCGTACTTTTAGATTGGCCGCCAAAGGGAGGAGTGACGCAGCCGTGTTGTACAGTATATGTGCACTGCGATTGGATGATGCGCATTTCGTGCTTTTAGATTGGCCATCAATGGGGAGAGTGACGCAGCCAAGCTGTCAACTCTGTTTGGATGATAAGCATTTTTTAAATTTTTGCGGGTTGCTTTATAGGAAAGCTAGACAAAGACACAGTTACGTTGCTTTTTCATATTCTAGCACTGTACTGAGTATTAATGAGTTGCGGCTGCTACTAGCGCCTTTTAAGCAGCCCGTAAAGTCCTCCACTGGTCATTAATGTAAAGCGCATTGAGACGTTGTATAAATGCGCTATACAAGAACCTCCCATTATTCTCATTCTCATTCTCATTCTCATTCTCATTATTATTATTATTACCTCTGTTGAATGGTATGATGTTTTGACACAGCATTGAAAACCAAAGGAAAGAACCAGTAGAGCCAAGGAATAAGAATATCAAGAAACATTTCATTCTTCCTGTAAAAAAATCCGCGAACCTAGAAAATAAATAACAAATGCTAAATTTCTCACAGTGAGATTTAAAATGTCTTCAGTTTGTTAACATCTACTGTAATTTAAAAAAACTTCATAGCAAAATCTGGGATAATAAACATTTGTTCAACCTCTACAGCAAGGGGTGTAACAATTTTTGAAAGGATATTTTCAAGTAAAATCAATAGACAAACCTTGCCATTATCATCCCAAGAACACATCCTGCAATATTAGAATAAAATCCAATCCATCCTGCTGTATCCTACAAAGAAGGCATTGAATAGTAACACTAATGGGCTGTCTTCCCTTTTGAATAACAATACTGGATTGTAATAATAAATAAATTCCTCTGCAATTTTCATAATTGTAACAAATTATCCCCTTCACAGATCCCAGTGCGATCTTGAAAGGTAGTTAAGCCATTGCATTGAAGCAAGATGAATGGTGAGTTTGCAATGATCAATAGAGACATTAATAATAGTTTAAAGTGTTAAAAAAGGCATCTATCACTGCAAGCTCACCGTTCATCTCACTTCGATGCAAAAGCACGGCTAGATGGCACAGGGAACTGTGAAAGGGACTATCATAAGTAGATTTTGATCATTTTGTATCATTTGATCAATATTTATATATGTGTATAGGGTTCATATGCAAAATAGAATAAATGTAGAGAATTAGTTAAAGGAAATTTACCTGATTAACTTTGAATGCCAATAGATTAACAGCAAGTACTCCTCCCCAGCCACTGAACACACCTTAAATAAGAATGTTTATTAATCAGTAGCTCAGCAAATCCCATGAGTTTGGCAATTTGTATCGTTTTAAATTTTGAAAATATACAAAATTCTCACTGGGAGGAGATGGGTGCAACCCCTTAACCACCCACTGGATCTACCTTAAATGACATTGAATAATATTTTCTAAATGGTATCTGTTTTATGGAAGGCAGTTAAGAATCAAAGTATGCACTATGCTGAGGCCTTACCTGTTGTTGTTCCATACAAGATGTTCAAGATCCAAAATTGTTTGTTCCTAAACAACAGTACATTGAATCAGATTGGAATATGAATTCATTAAACAACTACCAGTTATACTTTAGTTTTAGGAATCAATGAAAACATTGATGAAAATTTAAGTGATTAATAAACTTACTTTAACAGTTTTTTCCCACCCTCAATGTAGTCAACTTTGGCTCTTGCAGCAGAGAAACTTGGGGGATGAGGTGGTTTAGCAGGAAAATAGACCAAAACACACAGAAGTAAGAAAACACTGATGCCAAGCTCTGTAAAATATGTTACACAAAACCATCAAAAAAGGTATGGAAAGGTAAAGCTGTAGACACATTGTGTAACATTGAATGTAACAGGACTGTTGCAGCATGTGTCTACACCTGAAACTTGTTGCACACAACATTGCATGCAACAAATCTGAAGTTGAATTGAGCATGCTCTTTGCAACATTGCGTGCAACAATTTTCATCAAATGAACATGGCTGCAACATTGCCAGCAAAATTTTGGAAATTTCCAGCCAATCAGCTTGCACCAAATTTATGACCAAATTTCTTAGCATAGCAGGCATGGATCGAAGGAAGGTGCCACAAGTGATGTTGCATGATTTTGTTGCAACGTATGTCACCCTTATTCAAATTTGTCACATGCAATGTTGCAAGCACCATGTATGAGTCAATATCCTATGAGTCCAAAGGCCATGAGGTTGAAGACCACTTGGTGAGAGGTCTAATACTGTTTTGGTTTCAACCTACTAATCAGTCAAATAAATGAATACAAACAATTTTGAAATTTGGTTGAGTTATTTTTGGTTTTCCAAAGAAGCACTTTTCACTACTAGTGGCCTGTTTACTAACGGACCACTATTACCTCAGCAAAACGGAGCGCAGAATTTGTTATAGACCACTGACTCACTATCAGTAGGTTTAGACTAAATCAGCCAACCTCCCTACTTTCTGATTGATAAAAACAAAACCTGGCTCAATTGAGCAGATATTGTCATGAGAGGAAAGTGAAATTATCACATTTCAAAGGTCTGCAGAAGAGGCTAGATTGGAGCCCTTACGATCAATAGCATGATATACATACCAACATATAGGTATAACATAATGTCATTCCTGGCTTTTGTCACTTCATCGTTATACCTCCCTGAAGATAAATGAACCAAACTTGGTATTATTAATAATTATCTGACCGATTGACTGGTGACTCAAAAACTGACTGAGTGAGTGACTGAACAACTGAGTGAATGAATGGATGGATGGATGGATGGATGGATGGATGGATGGATGGATGGATGGATGGATGGATGGAAGTCAATCAACAGAACAACCAACTGGCTCAGCTGCACTTACCATGATGGGAATTATTGCCACTAATATTTTTGCTACCATTAACAGATGAAGTCAGATCCTTTGGATTAAGTATAAATGGTGCAACAACAAATGACACAGAAATACCAATATAGCTAGTTAGTGTAGATATAGCTGTAGCTGTTGCCCTTTGATTGGGTGGAAACCATGTCGATGAAACAAGGGGAGGAGCACCCATTGCTACTGGTGCACCCAAGTCATTGAAGATTTGACCAAGATGAATAAACCTGTAAGATATAGCAGCAAACAATTAAAAACTTTAAAATTTTATTAATACCCCGAAACAACCTCAGTGCCAACATAGAAAGAGAGACCGAACTTATGTATAGTATTAAGTCCAATTGAACCAAAAATTAGTATTTTTGTAAATCACTTTTAGTGACATTGATCATTCTCAATAAAGATTATTATTAGAAACCCCACCCCAGAGGTGAGAGCAGAGGTGCACTCTCACTTAGTGAGAGTGTACTGCCACTACACCATCCTTGATTATGGAAATTAATAAATAAATGAATGAATTTTGGCAGTACAAACCTAGTTTGAGTCCATATCAGACTCTCCATATTTTCTGCACCTACCCCTCCCCCCTACGAATTCACCTGTACGATTTGACTCACCATGTTGCAGTCTTTGGCTCCGTAGCGATGCATCTGAGCCCATTCCCAAGTGCTATGAGGAATATGGTCAGAAGAACTGAGGACCTCAGACCTAATTTAGATTATTTAAACACATTAATCCAAATTTAGATAAAAGGAATATTAAATCAAAAATAAAATCAAAAATAACTAAATGACATGCCTAGATAATTAGCTTTAAATAAAGGAATTAATAAGGATTATAGGACTATATGATAAAGGAATATGGGCTCAATTATTACAAATACATGTAACTTCAAAATATACAAACTCCGTGTCAACGACAATGTTTTGCACTACGGTACTTGCGCCGTCTTTTGACATATTTTTACTCGAAACAACTTATTAATGATTTGCTATCTCTAGCTTTTGCGTATATGCTTGTATCTCTTTCTCCTTATAAGTTCAACAATGTGTACTTTGTGCGATTTCTCCGTCGACGGCTTTTGAAGTAAACAAAGGAGTAGTTACGCAAATATTATACGACGAACTATGATATTTACGTTCAACCTTAATGTATAAATGAAAGACCACACTAAAATATCTACAATAAGCACGTTCTATAACCTTACCCTTTACATCCATGAGCCATGAAAATAAGACAAAGGATAGTATGTAAGTAATAGGACCCCAGTTTTCCAGTAGAGCGATCGTACCATCGGTCCATCCATAAACGGCCTCTGCCGATCCCGTAATGGGTCCCCAAGTATTCCAAACACATCCTTGTAAACCCGCAATAAGGGAAAACACAACTAGAATGTACCAACGGCGATGATAAACTCTACATGTGTTATCTATAGTTTCGTGGACTGAGGCAGTTTCGTGAATGCTACGAGAGAAACTCAAGTATCGATCTGCCATGCTGCTTACGTGCCTTTCACGTCTCGCGTGCACTGCTTACGCAACACAGGGAACCCATCAGGTCAAGCTTAGGTCATAGTCAATAAATGGGGGACCCTCTACTAACTTTGAGAGGATCAATATTTTTCGTCTAGATTTTACGTTTGATTTTTATTTGCTCTAATTAACAGACGGCGAAATGAAAGATTTCGCATGAAAAAATAATGCATGTCTGGTGCGGTGTGGCTGGGTGGGGTATAGTGAGGTTGGGGGTGGGGGTGAGGGAAATGGGTGGGCCGGATGAGGTGTGGTGGGGTGCAGTGGAATAAGGTGTGCTGAGTTAAGCTGGGTCGGAAAAGCTACCATTACAAAGCTACAGTCTTTTTATATCCACTGTTCGATCCCCCTAGCTAAAGTCCTAGAGCCGCCCCTGGTACTGTTAACCTTCCCTACTTGCTTTTGTGCGTTGTTGTGCTCAGTTGTGCGCGTGTCAAAGATGATGTGTACAGTCTCACGTCTGCATGTGTATCAGTTTAATCTGTTTGCTCGTATTTGTTATGGTACATTTTCTATATTTCTATGATTTCGTATTTTTGTAAGGGACTCGAACAAAAAGTAGATACTGTTATATAAAATAAAAGCAACAATGTTTTACGAAGCAGAATTTTTAGGAAAGAACAAAATTTTGCATTGAATTTTAACTTGATTTCATTTAGAAAATCATAAAAGTATGTTTATTTAGAAATAGAGAAAAGGGAAAGCATTTGTCCCTTGCAACTGATATAATCAAACTCTTTGTTACCTAATTGGACGAAATTTGTTGATTGCAAAAAAAAAAGGCGCGTAAAACAAAGATTGCTTCCTATTGGATGAAAGCTCTTCAATGAAAGTTCATTCCACGTGCAAATAATATCAGCAGTGGGCGTTTCGATGATAAAATTCCATTGGACTACACTTTCTGAATGACATGTGAAAAAGCGCGAAATTTAGACTAATCCTATTGGTTAAAATGTGTCACATCATCACGTGCCGTGATAATAGCCAATCACATTGCATATTCTTTTGAAAGAAGTCTAATCTTATTGGCTGATAATGTTTGATTGACAGTGGGAATGCAGTATATACTATTTTTCTGGTTGAGAGTTTGACTTCATAATCAAGTTGATCTGAAGAAATTAAGGTACGTATCATTCTTTTCCGGTAAAAATTATCTCAAAATTACCAATGTTTCTTAATTTTTTCCACTTTTTGGCCTTTCAAATGTGTAGTTTTAGACAAGAACTTTATGTTTTCAAGATAAAAACTATTTTTCGAGCTTTTTCTGATGCAAACCTTACTTGTTCTCTTTCTCGTGATTTGACTGACTGTTAGTCACTGTGAAGTGCAAAAATACCAATCATTCGGAAACTTTCTTTACTTCTAACAAAAAAAAATGATAAAGTTAAGACGATTCCTGTTAGTTTTTAATGTTTTTGAGAAGAATTTTTCTTTTTGCGAGAAATTTTTTATTTTGGCAAAGCTACCACGAGTCAACGCCGGTCAAAAAACACAAATTCTGATTGCTTTGTACAATTTTCTTCAATTGTCTATGTTCTATTGTACTCTAACTATATGTTGTAACTTTTGAAGTTTGTTTTTTCTTATTTTTGATACTTTTTTGTTCGAAAAAGTGTTTCATTGGTTTCGCGCGCTTTTTAAAGATTTTACTCGACGAGTTCGACATTTTGGATTTTCGTTTGAATAGTTGCCTTTTTATCGTTCTTTAAATGAAAAATCATTCATTTTGAGTAACTGAGCTTACAATTTTCAATCTTTGTTTGAATTTTCTGAACTTTTTTCCAAATTTTAAACAAATTTCTGAGGTTTTATTTTGGCGCGCTTTTCATCTTGACGCAAGTCGTCGATAAAAGTCAACTTTCCAACGCTCTCGTTTCTCATTATCCTTTCTCAGTTATAGTTATGCCAAGAAAACAATTTTTACTATCAAATACTGACATGTTTTATTGTTGTTGTTTTTTTTCTAGATCATTAATCATTATTGGAAGTGGTTACATAAAGTACCTAGAAGCAAGAAGACTACTGCGTATCGTAAGACTGAGTTAATGGTGGAAGATCAGTGAACGAGTTCAATGAAAATGACTGTCGACTGTTTTTCATGTCTTTGTTTTGGCTCGGGCTCGACCTTGTTCTTGATCTTCTTTTATTGTAGCATTTGCAGATAGATGGGGAGAGGCAGTTGCTCTTGTTCCTTAATCAAAAAGGAACTTATTCTCATTAGGTTAGATCTTTGACTTGCAAACATTGAAAAATATTCCTTTGAAAATCACGTGAAGTTTGGCTCGTATTTATATATATGTTGCAGGTCAAAAATATTCTGCAATGCTTTTTTTGCACGATCTAGAAGGTTTTTAGGCTAGCAGTAAGAGGGATCCAGATGTAACGCTGGTCCCAGGGATATTTGTTTGACAAGAAGCTACCACTATCTTAAAACTAGGTGGGGCATGGCGGATTATTAGTGTTTTTGACTGGTCGTCTTGACCAGGGTCAATTGGCCAATACTAGGTTAGTTTTTCAAATGAACTTTAGTCACCAAGTTGGCAACGCTGTACGTCGATGAAGACACAGGATCTACATACATATAAGATGTGAACTTTAGTTTACTGGAGTTCAGGCTTACTTGAGTAACGCTGGCCAGTACACGTCACTCACTCCCCTCACACAGCGCCTAGGGTTTTTAAGGTTAGACTGGCCAGTTGCGTGCTCTCGTAAGACTAGGTACAGTCAGGATGACTCGGAGAAATGCACTCGCCCCTCCCTTCGGTTGATGGTTGTGTTGGACTCCTGACTTGCTGCTCCAGTGTAGTCATTGCTTTTCAGTCGTGGCTCAAGTCTACCAACAACAGCCAAACTCGGCTGCCTCTGCAAGTGAAGACGAGTCTGCGATAGTTTTCTGTTTTATCATGTACCGGGCATGCCAGTGGTAGCTTCTTTAGAATAGATTTTTTTTGGTTTTTTTGGTGTTGTTGTTTTATTTGTATAGTGTTTCGTGTTTCTTCCATAGGTTACATATGGATTTATTTGTTTAATATTAAGAATGTACATAGTTTTTTTAGACTTTCGACCAAGTTTTCACTTTGATAGCAAGTGATACATCATCGTACTCTTTCATGACTGGATAACTGGATCGACTTTTTCGATACTTCTTCTTTTTTCGAATTCAATTATTTTCGACGACAAGTTTACTGAGATTTGTTTTGTAGATTTTCTTTCAGCTTTTCATTCTATAACGTGTAGGTAAATAACGATATAGATAGATTCGAGGGAGTGGGTCTTGGATATTCCAGCTCTCTCTGAAGTATTCACTACTTGATTGAGAATCCTGGAATATCCCCTCTTT